CCTCCCCTGAGGCTACCAGACTTCAAGTTGTGTTCAGATCTAACCAAAAAAAAACAAACAAATAAACAAAAAAACCACAGATGCAAAAGTCAGAACAATATGTTATCTGTTTGTAAGCTTGCTGTTTTATACTGCATGGGTGCAATGCAAGACCATATCTCAATGTGATTTCCATTACACTTACATGAGAATATTCACGAAGAAGACATCATGCACTTGAAAAGAATGGAACGAAAATATGATTTTGACCTTCTCATAGGACTCGAAGAAGTTTTTTATAGACAAAAAGTTCTAGAGTTCTCATTGAGGTAGCGATATGCTCTCCTGGCAATAGCCAGCTACCCTCACTAAACGCTTTTTTTTTCTCAATTTCCGAAAACCGCCCATTAAATTAACAAGTGTAAGTGTAAGTTCAAGTGTAAGGTAGTAGAATCAAAGTTACTGATTCTCAGGGTCTGTGTCATCAAGAAGGCTTTTTGAAAAATACTTTACGTTTTCAGTTTACCAGTAGATCTCTTTTTCCCAAACTGCCACGTGGTGAAAAAAAAAACTATACTGTGAATCTCCAGACCAACAAAATTTGTAATTGTGGCAGGTGCAGTTTAAGGGCCTGATTATCAAAATTTTGAGCCAGAAAATAATAATTTTTAAAAGAATCCTTCATCAGCTCTTTTTATGTGAGATCGTTTGATAAAGTATGGTTTTTCTTTGACTCCGCTTTTGTGTGTCGAGGAACATAACGGCAATAATGGCTTATTAACGTGTTCTACAAAATCTGTAAGTATGGCTATGCCAGGATTATAAATAAGTCCCCATTGTGAACAAAAACACCGCGTCAATGTAATTTTTTTTCTAACGCCGCAGAATATTTTGAGTCCTGGGCTTTGACCCCAGATTGATGTTATTGTACAGTTATTTGTGGGGGAGAGAGCGGGGGCGGACTATCAACACAATTGATGAAGTCTGTCGAAGGGCTGCATAGAAATTTGAAAAGACGAACGCGTTTCGATGATCGACTAAGAAATTGGGAAAGTTGACTTTTAATGAAAGATATTCAAAAGGGAATCAGTAAACATACTGCAGTATGATTAATAATCATTATGGGAAATATTCAGAGCCAGGC